TGTGGGGAGGGGGGTCGGTTGAGCTGGGGGTACATGGGGAGGGGGTGTGTTGGGGGCAGAGGGATGTAAAGGATGGAGCATGTGGAAGGCCTAAGATGGGGACTCTAGGGGTAACCCTGTTGGAGGTGTGTGTATGAAATGGGGACATAGGGGGCTTGTGTGTGTTTGTGAGAGAAGTTCTTAAAGGGTCATAAAGAGCCTGTTTTTCCTTCCCCGCGTGTGCTGAGTCTTTGTGGGGAAGGGCTTTCTCTTTTCTCCTGACTTGCATAGATCCTCTGAACATGTGGGAGAGGGGTGTGTGAATTGGGGAATGGGCAGGAAGGAGTGGGGGTAGCGGAGGATGAGGGGGAGGTTGGCTTCCCTTGTGGGATCAGTGGCCTCCTCTGCCCCAGTGTCTCTCTGGGTCTGCTTCCCCACACACTATTGCTGGAATGTGTGCCCTGCCTGTATAGTCCCAGGATGTTTCTCATTTGCAGGCACGTTCTTTGAAAGTGAGTCCTCAGCAGCCTGTGTCAACAGGACCTGTGCCACCTCCTCCAAAACCCAAGACGACTCCTACAGCTGTAGATCCAACAAAACAGGCAGAGGAAATCTTAAACGCAATCCTGCCACCAAGGTAAGAAACTGCTCTTTCCCCCTTTCACCATGGTCCTAGGATGCCAGGAAGAGTCAGCAATGTAAAATTCTAACGTGGAGAGCAAAGGAAGTTGGGATTCAGTGAATGTCACAAAATGGTGTTGGGGAGAGAGTGGGGGATGGATTTCTAGCTAAATGAAATGTTTGTTCCTGTCAATGAATGTGGCCCATCTAATAGCTGGTTATTCGTGCTGGGTGATGAGTGGTAGTTAAATAAGTATGTTGTCTAATTTGTATCAATATTGGCTCTTTCTGAATCTGACAAAGATGCTTTCCTCAATGATGTATTGAGGTAGCAAATGCCCCTGATGAATTATACATCAGTTTTAAAAGTAATATAATAAAAATAAAAAAAAAAATCCTGACATTGCTGTATTAGACGCAAAGCAGCAGTCCCCAAGCCTTTTTAAGACTTCTGTCTTGCTTGATGGCCGTGTAGTGTGCAGTTAGCCATGTTTGCTGTCATCCAAGTGTTGTGTAGCTAAAAGTTCCTGCCTTGCTACGTACATGTGTAAAACGCAGGCGCTCCCTCTGTTGTTGAAATGCCAGTTCAGTGGTGAGAATGAAAGATGCAAAGGCAGCATTTGTTTAGGGATCAGGACAATTATCAGAAGCTGTGCTGACATTGTCTCTCAGTTGTACTGACTATGGAGGGTGGAGAGAATGCTTGTATTGCACACTTCTGTGGGGAAAAAAATGGGATTCTTTCAGTTGGTGGTGGAAATCAGTGCTCAAGCATATGCTTGATTAAACCTTATCCAGAGGCAGCTCCTAGGTTGTTGCTGATAGCAGTCAATGCTTTTATCGTCAGTGAAGCTATGATGAAGGCAATGAATATGGCTAACAAACTAATCTGTGCTGCTTTTGTGATGCAGAGAATGGGTGGAAGACAATCAGCTATGGATTCAGCAGGTGTCCACCACTCCCAGTACCCGAATGGATGTAGTTCATCTGCAGGAAGAGCTGGATCTCAAACTACAGCAAAGACAGGCTCGAGAAACTGGGATTTGTCCTGTCCGCAGGGAACTCTACTCACAATGCTTTGGTTAGTGAATACATCCAGGTCTCAGAAACCATAGCAAAAAGCTTATTTGAATGATACTAAAATGCCTGAAGTTTCTGAATAGCTCAGGACATAGGGAATGGGAAATAGAGACTTTCATCTAAGGTGTATGGGTTCCAATCCACCCTGGTCAATAGGGAATGAGAGTTATTACCATCCCATGCCTGTTTGAGGACCTGTTGATCTCAGTTCAGTTCCTGGTGCAGAGGTCCACATCAGAATTAACACAAGTAGGTCCCTGTGTGAAGTCTCAGCAAAGAACCCAAAGTCAGAATGGACACACACTTTCCTTTTTCAGCCTTAATGGGTCCCTACAGGGCAGGGTTGAGGCACAGTGCATGTGGGAAGCTTGCACTGTTATTAAACAGACTGTACTTGCCCTCTTGAGGCTGCCCAGTCTGTCACTCTAGCATCTCTCACTACCATGTAGAGATGAAGCCCGGTTGCCGCAGGAGTGCTTCCTCTTAGTGTCAGCTTGTATACAGAACAGTATTTTAAAAAAAAAGTCTATATACAAGCTGACACTGAGGAGGTGTTACTGTGGCAACAGGGCATTGAACAGTAAGCTGGGATTTGTTGCATATTTGCATGGGAGGGAAAGATTCATCCAACCACACTTAGATCATACTCCAATAACTAGATTAATTCATCTTAAATTATTTAACGTCTTGGTGACACTATGCTAGTCCTCCAGCTGCTACAGACCAACCCCGGAGGCTGGAGAAAGACACCAGCCACTGATTTAGAGAGAATTCTTATTAATATAATTAATTCATTAATTCCTTAGCAATAGGAAGCTTCAGGTCTACACTGCCTGGCCTTGAACACCTCAAATGTCATGGCCATAATTACCTTTCTAGGCACACTGGCCCATGCTAAAATGTTTGTCTTGATACCTATGTAAAACATTTTCCCTCTATCTTTACTGTTATGCCCTTTTTATTTAAAGATGAACTTATCCGTGAGGTTACGATTAACTGTGCAGAGCGGGGACTGTTGCTGCTTCGAGTCAGAGATGAAATCCGAATGACCATCGCTGCCTATCAGACACTGTATGAGAGCAGTGTTGCCTTTGGTATGAGGAAGGCATTACAGGCTGAGCAGGGCAAATCTGACATGGAAAAGAGAGTAAGTGAGGCTGTTAACGTCATAATGTACCTGTGATCTGGTACACAAATGTCTCTCTTTTATCTTCCTCATGCTGGCTCAGTAGATCATATTTTCTCACATATCTATTAGAGCATTGACAATTTTTTGCAAACAAAATCAACAAACACCATTTTTCACTCAGCTCCAGTACTTACATTTGAGTCATTTTCTGATTTCATCAATAAACTCGTTCAAAATACGCTGCTTAGATTTTTTTTTTTAATTTTCTAGTTCCACTGGGTGGCAGTAAAGATAATCAAAACACACATCTTGCTGATTCCCTAAGGCTGCTTTTTAATGGATAAATTGGCTGCTATTATCATTTTTATTCTTCAAAAACTGTAAAATGCATAACTTATATCTTCATTGTATTTCAAAAACATAGCAATGAATGTCAGGCATATCTATGTTCTTTAAAAGATTGCAGAATTAGAAGATGAAAAGCGAGATTTGGAAAGACAAGTGAATGAGCAGAAAGCTAAATGCGAAGCTATTGAAAAACGTGAAAGTGAAAGACGGCAGGTAGAGGAGAAGAAACATGGTGAAGAGGTGCAGTTCTTGAAACGAACTAATCAGCAGTTGAAGGTTAGTAAAGAACCCTGACTGCAATGTCTTGGTAGGAAAACAACTGAAGTATTTGCTTTGTAAATAGTGAGACCTGAAAATGAATTTCCCTATAGTCTTTTGTTCTCTTAATGAAAAGGCCATATGTGCATGTATTAGTTCCTCTCTAACTTGCATTAATGTTGCAGATTCTCCAAATTCTCAAAGCTCCCTGCAGCTCTGTAGGGTGAGGAATAATGCCGTTAGTTCAAATGACCCCAAACCCTTTATGGCTGGTTAATTGATCAGTTATTGAATGCATGAGTGCAGTTGTTTCCTAGACACAGGGGCATTTTAGATCTCAGAATTTAAGGGACTTTTTAAAAATACGTTTGTGCTTTAAACCTGACTGATGCTCAAGGACCAAATTTTTGTGTAGACCTGACTCTAGAACAGTTGGCTGTCAGCAGAAGACACCAAGAATCTGAGAATGTTTCATCTTTAAAGCCTCATAAGTACAAGCCCAAAGTAAGGCAGACAAGGAAGACAGAATTATTCCTTTGTTGCTGTGGGCCTGAAAACATTAGAATCCTCTCCCTTACGACAAGGGACAGTTTAAAATGAACTATTGCAGTAAGGGACAAAACTCCTTTGGGTTTCAGTGCAATGGGGGCTTTTCTCCCATCCATGTCTGGAGTTTTCTGTGAGTAACAGGTAACGGTAATTGGATCTCATCTATCACTGAAAGAGTAGGCTGTAAAATATTCATATACTCCTGGAGTGGAATGAGGGGTGAGCAGTGTACCTGCAATTAGAAACTACCCCAGAAAGTAGACTTTTAATAGCTAAAAATTTAAAACAACATTCCACCTTATTTCTTTGGTTTATAAACAATGCAGATTATCAGGAACAAACCTTTCTATAATGATACACATAGTAAACTTTCCTAGCTTTAGGGAGCTAACTTATAAAAGAGCACAGAAATCTATTCATATTAGTCTGTGGCTTACATCTTCAAAATGGATCCTACTAACTTCTTGTTTGGTCTTACCTCTGTAGCGGGGGGAGGAAGTGAGTGGTTTCCTCCTCCTTTCCTAATGGGCTCTAGCGCTTGTCACAGGAGTGCTAGCTATTTGACCTAATGTAAACAGCTCTAGCTGTGCTGTCTGACCTAGATCACCGCAATAACTACTTACTACCTATCCACCTGCTGACCTTCACACCTTGCTTGTGGGTCAGAGGCCACTGTGCGACTTGGTTGAAGAACTTTTGGATAGGTGCTTTTGTTACAAATTTAAATGTGTGGGTTTCCACTAGAGGGCAAAGTAATGTTTGGAAGAAACTTGAATCTGAACCTGTCACATGGGCTGTGTCTGTGAACCTTTAGTCTTTTCTAATCACATGTCTTCAACTGTATTGGAATCATAATCCTCAGGGGAACTCGATGGCAATATCACTACATTGTCTGGGAGCTTCCAGTCTGTCTCCTCTGTTTGCACCAGAATTACAGATAGTAAATGGCAGGGATGCATTACTAACTGGGTTCCTAAGGCAGGAAGCATTTACTTGGATCAGATTAAAGCATAACTACTGTATTGTAACTAGTAGTACTTCTCCAGTTGTCTGCTAGTGCTCTCTCCTGGAGCCAGAATATGTCAAAATAACTCTTCCCGTGGCTGGTTGATACATGTGGATCATAGCAGTCTAGTTCTCTTTGAGACAGAAGGAATAACTCTCACTCTAAAACAAAGCACCCTGGCTTTGGCAATTAAGATGGCTCTCCAGGCCAAAAATATTTAATTTGATGAAAGCAGGGTTTGTGTTAGCTGATCCCAGGATAACATCTTTGCTGTTGAAAAGTGACCTCATGCTTGTGGTAAAAATGTCTATTTAAAGGAACCTTCCTGGCCAGATCTAAATCTCTTTACTTAGCACTCAGAGCTACTTTCCTTATCTTTGACTTCATCACATTTACACTCTAGACTTCCTCAGATAATCTGTTAGCTTCAGACCACCTTGCAGAGTCTTAGGCCACAGAACGAGGTAGCCATTAGGCCAAGAATATGTTGCCACCAAGTCCATATTCCTTTCCTGAGCCAGAAGGATTTATAAAGAGCTGTACACTTACACTTGCTACCACTTATTTTGTTGATGTAAGTGCTGGAAGTTTCATACAGTACAAGCTCCCTGTGCATTAGTAGCAAGTTCTTTCATCCAAGACTTGGGCGTCAAGTTGTCTCTGTGAGTGAAAAATTTGCAGTTCCCAAATACTTTTGTCTCTGAGTCAGAGCTTGCATTCCAAACCCCGAGAGCCAAATGTTTAATTTAGCAAGCTTAATACAGCCTGAAATCAGAGAACAAACCACTTTTTAAGCAACTTTTATTTAATTTCCTTTTCAATACTTTACATTATAAAATGGGTCTTTCACTGAATGGAACCACGGCCAGCTTTTAGTTTTCTTCTCATAATACAACACGTCTGTACCAAGAATGAAACAAACTAATTTATAAAACATGGAGTAAGGAATGAAATAACCAGGAGGAAAATCCTGGCCTGGTTCCCCTGGAGTATTCCAGTAACTTCTTAGCATCCTCGCTCTGGAAACAATGAACAACTGTCACCTTACAGCAATGGAGGGGTGGGGTGTAGATTGAGTCTAGTTGGACTTAATGAGTTGTTTGTCTTTCAGGCCCAACTTGAAGGCATCATTGCACCAAAGAAGTAGATTTCCTTGTGGGGCCCTGCAGGAAGAACTCATGAAACCTTTCTCTGAGCAAGGAGGTTGTGGTTAGTGACCCAGGTCTGTCTCATTCACAGTGATCCTGATTTCCACACTTTAAAGTAACTAGAAACATTGGAATTGTATTCCTTCTCCCCTTCCCTATTCTAATAGATTAAAGTGTTTTGCTAATTACTGAGACCTCATTTTCAGCGACTTTTCAGCATCCAGCTCTTTGTATGCTGAACATGTCTGGGATTTGCCTCTGTGATTCTCTAACCTATCACTGTTAAGGTCATACTCTTTTTAATAAACTTTTTTGACAGTAGCACCTCTGCCTCTATTGATCTGTTAGATGCTGTACAGATTTCAGAAGTACCATACACAAAGCATTGGACTAATATCAAATGGAGGTTACTGTTCAAATACTCATTTTAGCAGATTGAGTATATTTTGTTTCTGGGGTGGGAGCAGGTTCAGACTCATAGCTGTACAGCTGCCAGTAATGCTGGATGTGAATGGTAAGTTGCCAGCCTGCTTTCTGCTCTTCTGAGCTGTATGTGTGGGAAAGAATAGCTCTTTCAAGCATGCTGTAACATTGCTATCCTTTCTACTTGGTTCCCTGCTTTTCCTCATCCCAATCACTTGTCTGGGCCAGCACCTTCATTGCTATTGTGTAATGAATCCCTCATCTGACTATTTTCAGTGCACTTCTGTGACATGCTTTACTGCCTGCTGAGCCCTAGCATACATCACATGTACCTCCCTAGTGTAAGAATTTGTAAAACAGGACAAAATGCAACTGGATACCTTTGGCTCAAGTGATCAACGGGCAGTTGGTGGGGCATGGTGACAATTTAAAAGTGCCAATCTTAGTTAAGGAAGGCCAAGATTTGCCCTTCATTGTGGGCAGGTTTTGGTGCATTTTCTGCCTTTCCTAGCAAGGGCCACATCTACCCCGATGGAAGGTTTAACTCTTGTAACCTTATGGCCTAGAGCCCAGCTTGGTTCTAGCCCTGAGTTCTCTTTACTGTTCATCACTACTGTTAACTATGCACAATTACCACATTGCCCACCCAACCAAAAGTGTGATCACTTGGTGTCCTCAGGTCCTTTCAGCAAATAGAACACCTACAATTGTTTATTTTTGGTATTGTAATCCCCAACTGTCCAGCCAAAGGGGTGCTCTCTTCTCAGTAGCTGCTGTAATAGCATTTCTTTCCTAGAAACTGTGTTAGTGACAGCTTCTGGACATGCAGCTCTGTATAGGAGAGGAGAAACAGCCAGCAAGGAGCTGTGTGCACTAAGCAGCCATTGTACAAATACCAATCAGCCACAGCAGCAGTCACCCTACTTCATATCAGCCTGCCAGGGCAGTACCCTGCACAATAGCGCCCTGGCTTCTAGGCTCTATCATCACGCAAATAACAGCTACAGATCTTTAATGCACGTGTGCTCGCTGGCATACCCAATTTCAGTGCCTCAGTTCACCTTTTGAAATCTGATGTAGTAGGATGGAGGATATCAGATACAAACCCCAGAGCTTATGCCCCAGTAGTACCTGATCGTAAATATTGCAGGTTGCCAATAGCTTATTTATCTGCATTGCCTATATCCCATATTGGTTAAAACAAGTTTTATTTTAACTTCAGTATGTTTGCTGAAACCTGCTTTTGTTCTACTTGATAAGGACAGCCCTGCTCTCAAACCCAAGATAGCCAATTAACTTTATGTAATATTTAGGGTCATCTTGAGCAGGGGTTCTGAACCTTTTTCTTTCTGACTCTCCCCCCCCTCCCCCCCCCCCCCCCCCCCCCCAAAAAAAATGCTATCCAAACTCCATGGTCCACCTGAGCTATAACACCGTTTTTTCTGCCTAGAAAAGCCAGGGCCGGCATTAGGGGGTAACAGGGCAATTGTCCAGGGCCATGTGAAGCTAAGTTGCTCAGGCTTCAGCCCCGGGTGACGGGCCTTGGGGTCCCAGACTTCAGCCCCATGCGGTGGGGCTTTGGCTTTCTGCCCTGGGCCTCAGCAAGTCTAATGCCAGCCTTGCTTGGCAGACCCCCTGAAACCTGCTCTTGACCCCCCAGGGGGCCCTGGATCCCTGGTTGAGAACCACTGATCTTGAGGACTAAAGGTCTCTTCGCTATGTACCATTCAGAACCAGATACTAGACACTAACTTTTCACTAAAGAAAACTTAAAAAGGCATTTCCCATGCAGCTGTGTAGGGTTTTGTTCTACCGTTAACTAAAGAGGGAAGTAATTAGGAAATTAGAGTTCAGAGGAGAAAACTACTGTTAGCCATCCCAAAATCCTCTAAAAATAGCTCATTTTCAGAATCTGCAGAAAGACTTTCTAACGAGCCTTGTGACAGTAGCTGCTGAAGCAAGTTTCAGCCTACCTTTTGGAACTACCAGCTGTACTCTGCTCAGCTGAGGAATGAAAAGGATCATAGGGTAACAGTCATTTAAGTCATAATTCCCAGCTTCTGTTTTCACAGCGTAGGGAAAGTTATTGCAAATGAGGGCTGCATCCTTTTTCCCCATTATCTTGGACTCTAATATCCAGAAAAGAAGAAATTTTGAGGGACTTAAGATTTTATAGGGTTTTCTAAAGAAAAAAATCATGAAAGCCATCCTTCAAGCAAAGGTGCAGGAAGATCAGTTAAGGGCAGGTTACCCTGCTCGTGGGATGGTGGGTTTGGTGTTTATGGTCCCACAGACTAGGGGCCTTTGTTCCAGCAATGAAATCTTCCCTCTTTCAGCATTTTCACAATAGGCCTTGGTATAGTCACTACATCAACTTGAATTTTCTTCTTTGCTAAGGAGCTATTGCAAGCTGTGTTCAGTCAGTTTGAGTCTCCTGCAGCCTCCAGTATAGTTCTGCAAGAAGAGCCTCAGTTAAAGGATCCATCTCCTATTTCACTGCAACCACATACTTTTCCACAGCCAATGGACAGAGATTTGTTCAAATTCTCTCAAGGGAGGTGGTGTTATCCTGCCATGTCCATTGCTGCCATGGTGGTACAAGTTTTTGAAAAGGATGTTAAAAAACCTACCCTGAAGTTGCCAAGTGACATTAAGCATTTCTCAGTCACTCTCCAAATTCTAAGAAAGGTCAATTTGATCACTCTAGTCCCTGCTACCGAACTGCTTCCTACTGAATAGTGGCAGAAGTCCAACACTGGAGACTTTAGTCTCCTGCAGAGACTTCCATTTTGTGAATGACCTAATTAACCAGTATTTCCTGTTACTGCTTCAGTTTCTCCTTGCTCATTTTCAGCCTGAAACTTAATTTATCCCAGGCTCATTCCTTTGCCAGAATCACTCTTGGGGGCTGTGGTCCTGAAAAGCTGCAAAGTGGTTACTCACTCCAGCAAGGAATTAAGACAAGGGATTCATTTTGAGTAAGAGCAAGGCCCAGTGATTCCATAGCTCCAAAGACACAAGAACGCTTCCAAGGCATGTGTCATTCGGATGCTCAAGAATTGTGGACGGCTGAATGTCCCATGAAGTGGACAAGTGTTTGGTTTTAGCAGTGATTAGAACTCCCAGCAAGATAACCTCACATGCAGAGGTGAGAATTTCCAGGTTCACTCCTTAACTTTATGCCATGCCTTTGATTTCCAATAAAGATTCCCATTACTGCCATTTCCAGGGCCATGATAATTTGTTACTCTGGAAAACAGGACCTTATTCTGACAAAGGCACTAGAACGTAAGTGCTGCTCCTACTTCAAATCCCACAACAAACATGGCCCTTAATAAAATTTCATCTGATTAAAAACAGCTAGTAGGCTCAGACACATTTCCAGCATCTCTTCATCTGCCATAGCCCTTCCTTTCCCATTTCCCTGGTCTCTTAGCAAGCAGTTGTGCTGAAGAGTGCCTAATTGTGTGGTTGTTTCATGATACAGAGACATGGCTAGCAGAGTAAGTGGCAGTTAATGAAGTTAGAGGCACTATTTATCTTGAATACACGGCTAACCACAAATGAGGTAGAAAGCTTAACCTATGGCATGAATTCAAGCAATCACTTCCACTATTCCAACACTATGATGTTTAGAGACTCCTGCATAAACAGCAAACTGCAGCTCTTAACTCAGTTCACCCCTTCTCCAAAACAATTTTGTAAATATGTTTCTACGTTTTAATTTGGTGCTAGATCACAGCATGGATTAATGTTAGCTAGGGCACTTTTACACAGAGCTGTTGTGGAAATACCATGTACTCATTTGCCGAGAGAGACCATGAAGCAAATGTGATGACATGGGGAGGGGGATAGCTCAGTGGTTTGAGCATTGGCCTGCTAAGCCCAGGGTTGAGAGTTCAATCCTTGAGGGGGTCACTTAAGGATCTGGGGCAAAATCAGTACTTGGTCCCGCTAGTGAAGGCAGGGGGCTGGACTCAATGACCTTTCGGGGTCCCTTCCAGCTCTATGAGATAGAGGTAATATATGGAAATATACCTATGTAAATCCATGGTACAACCACATCTTGAATACTGCATGCAGATGTGGTCACCCCATCTCAAAAAAGATCTATTGGAATTGGAACAGGTTCAGAAAAGGGCAACAAAAATAATTAGGGTATGGAATGGCTTCTGTATGAGGAGAGATTAATAAGACTGGGACTTTCCAGCATGGAAAAGAGACGACTAAGGGGATATATGATAGAGGGCTATAAAATCATGATTGGTGTGAAGAAAGTAAATAAGGAAGTGTTGTTTACTCTCTCATAACACAAACTAGGGGGCACCAAATGAAATTAATAGGCAGCAGATTTCAAACAAACAAAAGGAAGTATTTCTTCACACAACGCACAGTCAGTCTGTGGAACTCTTTGCCAGAGGATGTTGTGAAGGCCAAGACTAACAGGGTTCAAAAAAGTACTAGATAAGTTCATGGAGGATTGGCCCATCAATTGCTATTAACCAGGATGGGCAGGGATGGTGTCCCTAGCCTCTGTTTGCCAGAAGCTGGGAATGGGCAACAGGGGATGGATCACTTGATGATTCCCTGTTCTGTTCATTCCCTCTGGGGCACCTGGCATTGGCGACTGTCAGAAGACAGGACTCTGGGCTAGCTGGACCTTTGGTCTGACCCAGTATGGCCGTTCTTATGTTCATCTATCACTGTATCAAGACACATGGCTGGGCTTTGAATTTAGAAATGCAAGTTGTACATGAAGAAAAAACTGCTAGTGAGAGGCACTGGTTTATGTTAAATTTAATAAAAGCCCCAGTTATTGCTTATGTTTAAATTTCTTGTGTTTTGATCTCTGTCCCTCCGAGTCACTTTTTTTCTTGTTCCGGTTCTTATTTTTCACATTGTGAGTTTCATAGTATCGGACCCCAACTTTCTTGGTGTGCTGCTGCCTCTCAGCTCTTCTCCTCTGCAAAGAGATGCAGTCACACATAGTAAAACCAACACATTCGGCAGAGCTTATTTTGTTTGGCTTTTATCACATTCTTCACTTTGAAATTAAATGATCAGAAATAAATTCTTCACTATGAGCTTTAAATGGCACGAATAAGATTTCGCATATAGATTTTTTCTTGTACAGATCTCAAAGTGCATGACAGAGATAGGTAAATGAGCCTGCACCAGAACACCTGGCTGCCAGTTTCATGCCCTATCAACTGAAGCAGGTTGCCTCTCATGGCAAGGCCCTGAAGGGAGATTTGCTATATTAGTCATATCATATTGAAGTGACTGTTTGAGGCCTAGAATTGCATTCATGGGGTTGATTCACGTATTACACCAGGATGATCCTTTCAGACTTTACTGCAGCACCCAGGAATCAACAGCACTAGACGTTTTAGTTGTGAAGGTGGGGGCTGACCACACAATGGAGCATTCATTGACTCTTGCTTCCTTGGGGCCTAATTCTGCCCTCAACTCCCAGCGCACCGACCCCTGTTCTGTCATCAGTGTGTTTCACACACAAAGCAGACAGAACATCCAGAGGAGAATTTTCCCTTTCAACTCCCTCCCTCTCACCGATGTATGCAGACTCCTCATCCATGCCCAGGAGGCCTGGTCACCTGTGAGCACATCACGACTGTTACTGTTGGCCAGACGGAAGGCCATGTAGATCGACTGCTCTGTCAGTGCCAAGCAGAGGCACTGTGCATCACCCACCACCTCCCAAGACCATCCCCAAAGCTTTGACATGCAAGAAGCTGAGGTATCTGAAAGGAGGCAAAGCTTCCATTCCCTGCCCTCTGCAGCTGGGATTATAGGTGGTAACACTTACTTCTTTGGATGTAAGCTTCTTGCATGGCTTTTTACCCTGAAGGGCATCCTCCTCCTCGTCCTCTTGTGCTTTCCTTTTCTTTCCCTTTTTGGTGCACCCTAAGAGCAGTATTTTAAACAGTCAGAGACACCTTCCAGCACCGATCTCTGTTTGCATAGGTTGAGGCAGCTGGCTCCATGCCAATCCTGCGTTTCAGCACATGGAACAATGCCAGAGTTGCACCAGCCACATTTGTAATACATGTGGCCTGTTTTGTCAGAGAACTATTTGACATTTGATATAAAAGCTGCTATTAAGGGCAGATTTTCGAAGCGCTGTGCAAGATTCTATCTAATGGGACAACTCCACTGCACACCCATTGTGTCAGAGTCAAATCCCCATCTGCTGATTTCAAACCTTGACTCCCAAATCAAGCCCTCTCAGTGGTACCTGCAAGGGAAACAAGATCTTGGAAGCCATCAGATCAAGCCTCACCATGTTTCCCTGGGAAGGGAAACTGCTGGGCCAGGACTATTGCCAAGTACAGGGAGTGCTACGCGAGCTGTCCATCAACCTCATCCACGCCTGAAACATACCAGGACTCTTACACCACCCCTTGGCCCTCATTCGCACACCCAGAGGGGGCAGAACACATCACAATCTGGACAAACAGGCGACAGCTCTGAAACAAGAACAACCTGCAGCTTTGCAGGGAGCCCTCAAGTCGGATTAGCTCATCAGCAAGTTTTAAATAGTTTTAGGGAAAGAAGAAACTGGCCCCAGAGACTAGCAGTAAATGGCCCCATTTCTCAGGGTTTCTGCGCTAAGACCTGGGGCATACCTAGACCGTTTCATGTTACCTCTGGCCTCTGGTTCTTTGGTTTCTTCAGACTTCTGCTCCGATGTTGTGAATACCTTTTCACTGAGCCCTCTGGGGATTCTACAACAGATAAAGCAGAGACACATTCTCATGGGATTGTGCTAGCCCTAAATAGCACCATGATACCACCTTTTCTATAGGTGCATCTAAACAAACAGTGCCCATGGTGCTCAGCAAAAAGCCACTTCTAAAACCAGAGTCGTCTTAACAATTCAAATAAGTCTGCAAGATACCCGAAACGTGCACACGGTCATATGGCTTTGCTGGGGGCTCTCCTCTACCCTCTGGCTAAGACCTAGAAAGTCCATTATTGCCAGATAATCTATCTTATCCAAACTCCTCTACATGCATGAAAATCGCGAAGACAGCAGCATGAGAGAGCAACAAAAATGATTAAAGGTCTAGAAAACATGACCTACGAGGAAATATTGAAAATATATCAGGTTTGTTCAGTCTGGAGAAGACTAAGGGGGACATAACAGTTTTCAAGTACATAAAATGTTGTTATAAAGAGGAGGGTGATAAATTGTTCTCCTTAACCACTGAGGCCAGGACAACAAATAACAGGCTTAAATAGCAGCAAGGGAAATTTAGGTTAGACTTTAGGAAAACCTTACTGTTGGGTAGTTAAGCACAGGAACAAATTACCTAGGGAGGTTGTGGAATCCCTGTCAGGTTTTTAAGAGCAGATTAGACAAACACCTGTAAAGGATGGTCTAGATAAGACTTAATCCTGCCTCAGTGCAGGGGACTGGACGAGACCTACTGAGGTCCCTTCCAGTCCTACATTTCTATGATACTATGAAGGGTATTAGCAGCTCTGGGAACTGTGTTAACTCCCCCATAGATCCTAGTAGCCGAAACATCAGCAAAGCCATAAGCTTCAGCCACGTTCAGGAAATAGATGCTCAAATAATCTTGTCTCCATGGCCGGTCTCCTTGCAAGGAGAGTGAAAAAGTCATTCATAATACCAGGGAGGGCGTGGCATGGACCAGAGGTGGTTTCTACTGCCCCAGGAAAAACCAGTTAATCCCAGTTCAAGGCATTTTCTGGTTTAAAAACGGTTTTGTTACTGCACACTGGATTACACTTCGTTTTAGTTACACACTGAAATAGTGATTACATAAGGCAGCAGATTCAGAGATTTATTTAGGATTTACAAATAAAGAGTAAAACTGCAGTGGGTGTAACACTAATAGATGTAATATAATACTAAACATCAGAATGGCTGTGCCGTTTGGGTCAGTAGTTTCCTCAAGGAAAATGTCACAACTTATTTCAGTTTTCAATATTATATGCATTGCAAAACTATTATCAAGTTGCTAAATATTTTTCAGTAATTTTCATGAGAAGATTTTATTTTTTTACCAGTTTCCCGGTTTTAACTGGGTTGAAACCAGAGCAGAGCTGTCCGTCCTAAACCAGTTTTTCTGGAAAACTGCCAACCCTGCCTAGTCCCCATCCCCTTTATCCTGCACAAAGTTGGTGGGAGATCTCCAACTATCCATGCAAACCCAGTTATGCCCAAACTGGGCCAGCAGTATCCACCAGACAGGTCTCAGGGATGCATGCATGTCCACAACCGCTGGCCTCTCTACGTCAAAGATCAAGCATGATCTCAGAGTAACTGGTTCTAGCTTAGCTATGTGGTATAGTTCAGTGATTCTAAGGGCCTTTGACTAAGGACACCAAAATGAGGCAAACTATGGCTTTTCCACCGGCTCATTTCCCTCCCGAGAGCTGAAGACGTGAGCATGGAGCAAAGTAAATCAGCCCAGGCTGGCAAAAACAGAATACTAGCTCACTCATGACAGCAAAAGAAGCTGTTTTCCCATAAAGGTCAGAGCATTAGATGTTTTTAAGATGATAAATAAGCCTCATTTGAAGTTCAGCTAAGTAAATGTTTGGTTTTGAGAGAAGATTATTCAATTAAGGTGGATATATTGGCCCAGAATAGAAATCCTAACACACACGGAAGCAGTTGAATGAAATGTGACTCAGTGAACCCAGTAACAGGACTTAATTCAGCCCGGTCTTTTCTCCTGTGCAATTCTTTACTCTCAAAACTGAACAAAATCCAGTACCTTATTGCTGAGAATCTCTTGGCTTTGGCTTTGTCCAGGAATTTTTTGTATTTTGCAATCTTTTCCTCCAAAACCTTAATAACCGCCTTGGAGCCCTCCCTGGCAGCTTCTCTATGGGAGTTGGAGTCATCCTCAGCTAAGTTTTGCTGCTGTTCTTCCTCTTCCTCCTCCTCCTCCTCTCCTCCAGAAGGATCGCTGTCCATCTTGTCAATATCTGACATAGCTACAGGAACCAGGTCTTCTTCCAAGAAATGAGTTGCCACATTAATCTTCCCAAAGTTCTGCCGGACGTGAGACATGAGTTGCTTCATTTCTGCGTTCGCTTTGTTCTCCCCTTCCTCTACCAACTCTGTGTTTGAAGCTACAGCCTCTGAGCTCTGCTCATCACTGTCAGCTTGGCTTGGCACTGCAGCTACTTCTAAAGAAGATGAGGGCTATAAACAAGAGAAAGAAAGGTGAGACTTGCACCCCAGGCATTTCACCTACAGGCAAGATCTTAAACAGCCATTACCTCATTACATTCAAATGCACTTTGACCACCAACAATCTGTACCAAATCAGCCATGTGACCTTTTGTACAGCCATAATCTCAGGTAGGGTAGGAAGAAGTTGAGACAGTAAATTGACTCAGAAACAATTAGTGTCTTCAAATAATTTGCCTTCAGTTACTGCATCCTACAGAATGGACCCTCTATCCCTTACGTATCACAGCAATTCACATTCACTTACATTTCTCAAAAAACAAGTAATCCTGAAACAGTGCACATAATTCCAGAAACTCCATCAAGGGTCACAGGGCTATCAACTGGGACTGGCCATAATGCAATCCCTTAAAAAACAAATTAGTGGTAAAAATATCCACAGTTGCTACTGAGTGGCAAAAGCTGGGAACAATCCAAGAGTCACTGCAATTCAGGAACTACCGAATAAGTAATTCATGTGCTACACATCAGATAAGAGTTCAAAGCACCATTTGAAACAAAGTGAACTTTCAAAGTTAAGTGGGTTTCCCAGGAAACCTCTAAGGGGAGGCGTATGCACATGTAACCCCTTTGGTTAGGCAAGAAATCAGCCATTTGAAGCTTTGCCCCAAAAAGGAGCCCATTGTCTGTGAATTACTTATTCACAGATCTAAGTCTCAAACTGTATAGAGGTGTGTCTCATAGACCCATGGGGATGCCTGTTCTAAGCTAACACCTGTTATGAACGTGTGACCCCAGAAAAACCCCTGTGTGGGGTTTGAAGGACTGATCACCTGCCAGAGCCCTTGCTGGAGTTGGCGTGATCTCTGGTAAGCGTATTAGCACGCATGTAGGTTCTTTTATTGTTTTTTATGTGTTTTCTCTTTCATCTTAAGAATAAGTGTGCTTGCTTAGAAAGAGCTGTGTGGTAACTTAACTATGGGCAATTATGCTGTTTATAGCCTCTGAGGAAAAAAGCAGAGCAGGCCTGCTTAGACGCGGGGAATTGACAGGGCAGGTAGGGAACAGTACAGCCTGGAAATACCTTGGTCAGAAGGGAGAGAGACAGGTCTCCAGCTAAGAGAGGTGATGGCCAGGGCCTAAGGGCGGATGCTCTTGGTGGACCACAGAGAGGGGCCACTGTCCTGAATGGTTACACTTACTGCAAAACAAACGCTAATCCTGTGCACAACTTTCCAATCATCTCTTTGGAAAAGAGAATTTATTTGCCACCCAAATTAACCACCAGTTAATATTGTGAAAGTTGCTGAAATGTCTGCACGTTAGCCAATACAAACCAACTAAAATAACCAGTCAGGACATTGCTACATTCCTGCTGTGTGTTCTTTCTGTTTAATGAATTCAAATGAGCATTACCTGAAACACTGAGGGAAAGCCACCCTCAGCTATGCTAGTGAAGCTGCTAAGAAATGGTGTGCAAATGGGAAATGGGTTACCACGTCTGCAGGAATGGAAGTAAGTGTTCTCACCTGAGGGCCTGGCTCTGCATTCGGTGGTTTAACGAAGAATGGTATACGGCCCCTCTGCCAGTCATTGAGGACCATTTTGCTCACAGTCTGCATGTCAGGTTCTCCACCCTGGAATAGACAGTAATGATTTGTGTCTGAACTCACAAGGGCAAATGTACCCATCACCTCACCTCAAAGGAGCTTGGAGAGTTGAATTCCCTATGTATAATGTGGGACTTTACTCAAACACTCCCCACTCACCCAAGGTTACACAGAGCTGTGAAAATGCAGACTGTGTTTTAATCTGGCTCACCTTTAACAGTTTTCCAGTCCGGAAGGCTAGCTTCTCAAGGAAATCCTCTGCACTTTTCCAGGTATCAATTTTGTACGTCTTGCTGATGTACTCTGGCTTCGCTCTTTCGAGCACTGCACTGATATGGTCTTCAGGGCTCTTTATTTTTTCAACTTGAACCTAAAAACGAGGGGGAAAGAGAGCCAGCACCTGTGAGCATCACCATGGGTCAGACAAAATTCAAAGGCTCAGATGCTCTGGGCAAGCACAGCTGCAACTGATTTCAGCCTCAACAATTCCTCTCTAACTTCCTCCTCCCAACCACAATGGAAACTCTTCTAGCTTGATTGTAAAGGGAAAGGCAGCACTTTGTTATGCTCTAATACTGCAGAAATTCTACAGAGTCCCAAGCAATGCGGAGATTTTAATGAAGGGTCAAACATCACCCTCCTCACCCCACCCCGCCCGCCCCAAGACACCCTGGTTCACTTTAAATGTGTAAAACTTCCCTTTACTCTGTACGTTAACTAAGATATCATATGTGTGCACACTGCTTCGGCTCCTGGAACGCTACCCCATCCTATGGTCAGACCAAACGGCATGATTACTGCCCTCAGCCTCATCCCCATTCTGAAGTTTGTCATATGTACAGATCACAAGTTGTCCCTGGGGTGAGGGACGTCAGTATTAAAATCTCTTCAAACCAAGTGCATCAACTGTAGAAAAACGGGCCTTTCCAGCATTCTCAGCAGATACTCACCACTCCCTTCAGCACAATGTCAGTTTCTGTATCCTCCGATGGATAAACCACACCTGGGCAGTCAATGAGAAAGATCCGCCGCATCAAGGTGATGTACTGCCAGACCTGCAAGAGACCAACAGTCCTCCTGCTTTACCCTTCTTCACAAGCAGCCTTGGATTCTGCATTTTAAAGGTATGAAGCTACCCTTAAAACAGGCACTGCAATTTATGAACCTGAGGGACTAAGAGACCCAGAGCTAAGGACAGTGACCAGCCACTGCCCAGCCCCAGGAAGCTGAGCACTAGGTGGGATTCAGAGGCTAGATCCCATCACAAGACTGGTGTCCATCCAGACAGCAGGACTGGACCAGGTGGTGACACTATGTCCATGTATTTTTGCATAAATTCAAGCCCATGGTTTGCCCCAGGGATTACATTTATATTCTGTGTCTAGGAACTCTTACCTGCCCAAAGGCCAAGGTTCTTTCATGGCCTACCTACCTTTGTTTCACCGGCAATGGGGGCCACGTTGCAGACCTTCTTGGATCGTAACGTATTAATCACTGAGCTCTTGCCAACGTTTGGATAGCCAATGAAGCCCACGCTGATCTGTTTCTTGTCTGTGTGCAACTGTTAAGAAATTACACACATTTATGAATGCCTTGTAGAGAAATGCACAGTTGCTATTAAAATTCCAAAATGTGAATTCTCAGCAATTCCTCTCCTCTTAGAGAAATGGAGCGCAAATACAGTCCCAACGCAAACCTGATCACAAGAAACAGGGTCCCTCTAATACAGGGATCTCAAACTCAAACCACCACAAGGGCCACATGAGTACATTGGCCCAAGGGCCGCATCACAAACCTTTTCATACGATACAAAAGTATAGTCAAAAATGAAAAAAATGAAGAGTAATACAGTATGCTATTAAAAGTCAATGTATTAACTTTTTTAAAACTGTAATGCGAAAAGTCAGTGCTAATTTTGACGACATTTCATTTTTGGCCACTTAGCTGACAGCGTTTTGCATCAACCAGAGCATCAATATTAGGTTTGATACCCTGAGAGGAAACCAATCTCAGTGTTGCTTGCAAATCGTACCACATTCCATACAAAAAACGACACTAAGAGAATGTTAAGACTGCACAGTTAAGCACACGTGCCAAAATCAGGGTTGCACACACAACTTTTTCTCCGCCCCTTTGAGACTATATGTTATCACGTAATCTTTTAATTACAAGGTCACATACTGTTTCTCATATAATATATACACCTCTACTCCGATATAACGCGACCCGATATAACACGAATTCGGATATAACACAGCAGCGCTCCGGGGGGGCGGGGCTGCGCATTCTGGCGGATCAAAGCAAGTTCAATATAACGCAGTTTCACCTATAATGCGGTAAGATTTTTTGGCTCCCGAGGACAGCGTTATATCGGGGTAGAGGTGTACCTTTTTTCTACACCCTTAAATTGTATAGATTCTTACAGTGATTTTTCTACTGACTTTTATTGCGTTGTGGCCCAATATATGCTTACTAGCAAAGGACTTGCCACTTAGCCACTCAAGTTTATGGTACGTATGAGTGAGGGTGGGCAAATGTGTGTTGTGATGGGAAGCTGTGTTGATTTGTGCCTGCAAAGCCCCCATTCCACCCCTTCCATGAGGCTCCGCCCCTGCCCCACCTCTTCCCCGCCCCCATTCCAACTCCTTCCCCAAAGCCCCCGCCCCAACTCCGCGCCTTCCCTGCCCCTATTCCAACCCCTTAACCAAATCCCTGCCCTGGCCCTGCCTCTTCCCCTGAGCGCACCGCATCCCCGCTCCTCACCCCTACCTCCTGGAAAGTCCTAAGTGCCGCCAAACAGCTGTTTGGCAGCGGGAAGTGCTGGGAGGAGCGGGCACGCGGCATGCTCGGGGGCAGGGGGAGCTTGGCAGGCTGCAGGAAATAACTCTGCGGGCCGCATCACGTGTTTGAGTCCCCTGCTCTAATAAGAGAAATTTATTACAGCTAACAGGCCTTCAAAGAGCTGATTTCAAGTGCTGAAGGAAATATTCCATAACCTTTGTTTGAAGAGTCAGAAATGAGTCACTTGTGTTTTCAGCTGCTATGAAATTACTCATCGATGTCTTAAGTTAAAAAGCACTTGGGTTGAGAAACACAAATATAAATAGGAATCTGTCGACAAGATAAAGACACAGATGTGGGACTCGAGAGGAAAGCAGTCCTCTACAAAGGAAACTATTCTGTTGACTTGTCTCTCTCAAGAAGATGAATACTTCAAAGAGGCATCATCTGCATGGGATAGTACCAATTTGCAGGGCATAAATGAGCCGCACAAGTACATTCTTCCCCTCTACATGCTCATGTGTTCCTAGGTAGTATTAATGGAAGTTTCCTGGGTGCCTAGAGACGACACCCCCTGGCCAGTATGTATCTGGGTCAGACTGTGCTGGTCAGACTGGGTTTTGAGCCTGCCTGAGTTGTGTTGCACATTTCTCAATAACTCCCAATAAACAGGGAACATGTTCCAATCACTCCCCAAAGAAGGGCTCTTCACAGGTGGAGTCAGCCACTGATATGGATAGCCCAGCGTCTAGGCTGCTGCAGAAAGACATTTTCCACCTTGAAGCCCAGCAACTAAGAGAAAAAAAAAACTAAAAACCTGTTATGTACCTTTCCGAACTGCCGTAACAGCTGTATGAAGGCTCCTTTGCCAAAGGGATTTGTGAGACTGGCGTGGAAAGCAAGTGTCGGATAATCCTGGGAGAGGACTGCAACCCAGCGTTTCTAGAGAGAAAGCACACTGCTGAGCGAGGCGGTTCATGCTACAGACCCAGAAAAACAAGTGCAGCGACTTAGCCTGATCACAGGACTGGGTTTCAAACAACTGATTTGCTAAGGAAACTGCAAATTCAAAGATCTTTCAATTGTTTCTCAAACCCTACAGTAAATGCTGTGTCTTCCATTTTATACATGCAAGACAATTCTCCAAAAATGTTTCATTGCTAGCTAAACCCAATTAGCTGAACAATATAAAACAGGCTAGCTCTTAAGAGGACTAACACTTAGCATACTCGCAAGAAAAAAGCTGAACTGTTACAACCAGCCAGAGGAAGTAAAGAGTTTGTGGCTGGTGACTGTTGATCAGCTAAGCAAAACTTGGAGGCATTTGCAGTGTAACTGCTACTCTGATGGCAGGAAATCCTAGAGGAGCTCCCACTGATCAGTTACATTGTGCCCTGTAGCATGAGGACTGACACTTGCACCAGAGCATAGGCTACAATACCGCCAAAGAAAACCCAAAGCACTGCAGGAAGGACAGTACTTACGGTGGCCCAAGTAGGGACAAGGTCACATTTGTTCAGGACGAAAATGAGATGTTTCCACGGTTTCTCCTTTTTGAGGTAAGATTCGACATGTGGGGAACGAGTCCCGACAGGATCTCTAGCATCAAGAACTTGCACAATAACATCAGACGAATCAATCACCTGAAAATCCATGGAGAGAGAGGAGTTTGGACCCTCAGGCTGAAAGCTAATGCAGCACTTTTAAGGGGAAATGGGCAAGCTAAAAACACTTATATTTTCCCCCGCTCCATGTGCAACTCGCACTATCCCTTCGGTTAGTCAAACCGACTAACATCCAAGGGGTTTACTTTTCCCACTGAAGCCGTGGCGGACAGTGAAGTTACTCTGTGTATATAGACTGTCACTGGCTTCCTGTGTGCAAGGATGATGCTGTGACAGTTTGGTTGCGAACACTCCAGGGAAAGGCTCTAATTAATCACCTTAATAGACAGAATTAAAATGACTCTGCATAAACTAGTAGAGAGTCACTTTGATTTTGTAAAACTCTACACCTAAATGTGTACGCCACCTGATCGTGTTCCTTTACTGGCACTGTTTCCAGCAATCAAGTTGAAGAGCAATCGTTTCACAGCAATCGTTTCACAGCAAAAACAACTAGGAGTCCTTGTGGCACCTTCGAGACTAACAACTTTATTTGGGCATAAGCTTTTATGGGCTAGAACTCACTTCATCAGATGCATGAAGCGAAAAATACAGGAGCAGGTATAAATACATGAACGGATGGGGGTTGCTTTACCAAGTGTGAGGTCAGTCTAATGAGATACATCAATTAACAGCAGGATACCAAGGGAGGAAAAATAACTTTTGAAGTGGTAAGAGAGTGGCCCATTACAGACAGTTGACAAGAAGGTGAGAGTAACAATAGGGAGGCACTAGTAAAACCTTGAATGGAGTATAAACGCACTTCTAGCAGGCAAATTCCAAAATCACTACCACCATTTTATAGGTGATCGTGATGCAAAAAATGTTTCTTGAATCAATATTAACACGCAAGAAACAAGGGGGAACGTGCAGTCAGTCAGCTAACCGCCTGCAACAGGGAGCAGTCATTATATGGCTTGATTCAGGGCCAAGTGAATTTGTTTCATATCTATTTCTTGCATTTTTGGCACCCACTTAATTGAAATCTGTTCAGGTTGCCTTATCGTTCTCAGCACTTTTACAAGGTCTCTAAGTGGAGAGGTGGCTGTACAGGTTATAAGCTGCATTCAGAAACTCAGAGCAAGAAGCAGACGAGCAACGTCATGTTAGTCTAGCAGTAACTAAGAGGATGCACATCTGGTCCTGTTACCGCTATAACCTTGGGTCTTTCCCATTCCTCTAGCAGTCGATGTGACTCAGAGAGAGCTGAAGGTCAGAGCCTTCCAGAGGAAACCCTGCCAAAATACCGGAATTTGATGTTTTAGCCTAAACAACCTTGACATCACTACAGATAAACCATTCAGATGAAGACCCGGGGAAGGTTTGTGCCTTAACCCTGACAGTCACCCACTAGGTTGTATGCTTATGAGATCTCTGTCCCCTTAAGGTAGGGGTTCAAGGTCAGTCTGAGTGAAGACTGTGGGAACCTCCATCCTTTTACACCTTTCTTCTCCCATGTTCCAATTGCTGTTGCACGGTGGTACCCAGACCTCGTGGTTAAGAGAGGTCAAGTTTCAAACTAGACTCTTGAACAGGCTGACGAGAGAGCAGGCAGGCAAGCAAAATACCTGCCACCCTTCCTTATAAGGGAAACCATCACCTATTGTATGGTTCCAGTGAGCTTTAACCATAGGAATGCTGGGGGATATGGATCAATGTTCATGTCACGCTCCCCATCAGTGCCCGGGCCGGGGAAGTTAATGATCCAACCTGCGGACCAAGTTTGGTGATAAATTCTAGTCACGTGCCACCTGAGGCATGTTGTACATATGCTAAGAAGAAGAAGAAGAAGGGAATGCTGCTACACCCACACTTGGTTTTTACAGTCCAGCTCCATCAACAAAGGGTCTTCACAGAGCCATCCCAATCACTGTTCTATGGAGTGACTAGTTTGTGCAGGCTGGTGTGCTGCTGCATTTGGCTGAGTGATCACCAATTTCAAATCACCTCCCATGAGCAAGTCGTGGGAATTCAAATGTATGAATCTCTCTCAACCTCTGCATGATTACACTTACTTTGTAAAGCTCACCCCAGATTCTTTTGGACTGTCCCTTCTTGTAGATCTCCTCTCGTGCTTCATCCCTAAGAAGTGGATTATCAAACACATGTCAGCAGCTGAAAGACCTGGAGGATGCATTCTCTGACGCCATCTGCACACACAGGAGATGAGGCCAAAGTGACAAATACTTGGGTTTTACAGTCCTTATCAGCCTAGGAATATGCAGAAGGAATACCCATAAAGCGGTTCCAACAAGATATACCTTTTCATGTGCCTGTATTTGTGCACCTACTGGGCTCCTGTTACTCTCAAGACACCCTTGGTACATATTCAGAGATATCATGCATCATGAATTACACTTGAAGGTACATGCACATGGAAGCAGCCACTAGGTTAACTATGCAGGCACACAGACGGCAAGAGAAAAAATCCAAGTCAAATATTGACCACGTTGGACACCTTAAATAGTCTAGCTCCCCTCAGCCTCTTATTTTCTCTAGGCCCCCCCAAAAGGTGTACAGTAGGAGTAGCACAGTGGACATTTTCAAGGGTAAAACTAAAACATGCGTTGCTCTTAGGGAGTTTAAACACTGACTGTAACTAACTCCGCCCAGCTTTTTACCTCACTCCAGTATCTTCCATCACCAGGTCTCGGTCCTTGCCCTGGTCATAGGTCCCTGCGGAGGCCTCAGCGTTCTCCAGAAGAGACTGCACATCACTCGCAGAAAGATTTGGTCTTTTCCTTTGCGATTTGGGGCCAAAGGTCGTTTCAAAAGTTTCTGTGTCAAGAATGTGGACTTTGGAATTCTGAGGGAAGATAGGTTGGTAAAAAGTAATAAAAACATGCTTTAACTTTACCATGGCTCAAAACATACAAAGAGCTGTCACAAGAAGAGTTGTATGCACTATCTGGATGAGTCAAGTTTTTTTTAACTCCCTTTGAGAAATACAAGAATAGTTGTTTAATAAAAAGGAAAGCAAACACAATTATGTTACACTTGCCAAAGAACTGTGTTTCATTTCTTTTATTATAAACTTAGTCAAATATAATTGAGACTACAATGATGAAAATTAAACTGTTATCTTTGATCAGTCCTTTGTTTTTCTAACAAGTGCACAAATCTCGCCAAATTCACAGATTTTGTCAAGAATAATCATGCTCAAATTCGTAGCTTTTATTTTAGACCAGCTACAAATGCCAACATTTTCTTTGAAATGAATCTACTTCATGGATAAAAAGAATCACTTATTTTTTACTGTGCATTTTAGTTTCAGATAACATTTCACTTAATTTAGGTAAAAATTTTATTAGTTGCACATGGGAAGTCTTCATATGAAAACATCTAGCAAGAGTCCAAAATAATAGCTTAGATAAGAGAAACTTGATCCTAACTAAAACTTGATGTGCCTGAAAGACGGTTGTATGCACAGGAATGTTTTACTCTAATTTGAGTTAGGATCTATCACGCAACAGGAGGCAAGCAGAGTGAGACCAGCATCCTCAAGAACTCATTGTCAGGCTGTCACTTGTGCCATCACAAGCACCGGAACCAGAGATTGTATGGGAACAAACTGCCACAGCCATCCTATCCTGGCACTTTAACACAAACTGCTTTAAGGCAAATTTCCTGCCAAAAGAGATTAATTCCCAATGGATAATACAGACCTTCTTATTGGTTACACGCAGCAAATACACTTGCTTTATTTCATTCATATTAATTTTATACATCTGCCCAATCCCTGGGAAATATTCCAGTGCAGTAACCCACTCAAAGTACTGCTAGCTCCAGTCTGAGTTCACAGTACATCAACTACGAACCACAGAGAATATTCAAGGGCAAACAAGCAGCCTGATGAAAACCCAGAGTCAGGCCTTCTCACTCAGAACACTGAACCATACTCTCACCAATCACCAGATCAAGAAGCCAAACGTTACAACCACCTTTGCCTGCTCATAAGCAGGATTCCAGAGCTACATTTAAACAGGATCATTTTAGAGGTACTGAAAAACGGAATACGGGGTATTGATTTACTCTCTATAGCTGACTGAACATGAGGCAATAACTATGCCTTAATTTCTATTTTGTACTAAGTGGAAAGTTCTTTGAACTTGTTTGATTTGTATGTCTGGTTAAAAGTCTTCTACTAATAGGAATGTTGCTAGTAACTACTCTGCAAGGCATGGGAAATGTGTCCTACCAAATATCAGGCTATTTCGCTGTTTCGTGAATAGTAGAAATGTCACAGCACAGACAGCTCTGACAAACAGATTTGTTAAAGGAATAAGATTTTGGAGCCACAATGCACAGGAGGGAGTGCTCACCCGGGGGATGTGTTACTTACAGGTCCATGGCAAGTTAAATAATTAACTCTGTACAACCTCAATAAAATCCAAGCCTTTAGAGACCAAGACCAATTAAGACACAGATTATCCTAAAGTAGGTGGCTAAGGACTTGTTCCCATCCAAGGACCCTGTTTACAGGTGAAGAACAAAGGAGTGGTCTAATATATCTAGGGGTGCAGAAAGATGCCCTGGCATCGTTCATCTGGGGAGACAAGCTTATGAAAGGAGGGTCTCAACCATCCTGGCTGAAAAGAGTTGTGATAAGGACTTGTGGTAACCAATACCTTATTAGACAAGAGTACATCTTGTTAGTGAAGTTTAGGCTCTAGAACATGTGTGATTATTTCATTTTATAATTAATCCTTTGTTTCCAATATTTCTGCTTGCTGTCCTTTGAATCTCTGTTCTGTTAAATAAACTTATATTTTGCTTTCTCTATAAAAAAAACTAAGAGCTGTGTGTTAAGCAGAGCTGTGATCCAGAGTGTAACTGGTAAGCTAGGGAATACTGTTCCTTTGGGAAAAGAGGATCTGGGAATTCTGTGAGTGTTCAGTAGATCCGGGGCTGGGAACTCCAGGGGGATGCCCAAAGGACTCATGAGGGGGAGTGTATCTATTGCTAACCTGCAAAGAGACGGCAAACCGTGCATAGGCTGAGAGAAAAGTGCTTGTGTTACCTGTGGCTGGTAGAGTCAGGGAGCTGACCCTGGCAAGCTCAGACAAGGCTCCCTCACGCTAAGAGCAGGTGGTAGTGAGGTGCCTCACAGGCCTGGGTATCCCTGGGAAGCGTCACACTCCCAGTTCAAAGTGTAGACATATCGGGAGTCAGCACCAACACTGTCTGCAGCACCCTGTTCTCTCCCACCCAAGTCCTCACAGGATGATACACTGCTTAGCTTATAAAACCGGGATAGCAAGCTGCTAGGAAACCTCAGATCACTCAGTGATTCCTTCAGGTTGACACAGTGCCACTAGCAGGCACCCAAGAGAGCTGCATCCATCCTTGCTCTGCCAGAGAAGAGACGGTGACATCGAATGAGGGAATTAAGTCTGCCCCTAGAGGACACCATACAGCTCTTCACCAAACTGAACAGATATAACATGACCACTCATAAATGACTCCAGAAAAGAAACCTAGGAACTAAGGCTCCTGCCCAGAACTTCCTAACAGGTCTTTCGTGTGAGGAAATAAGCGATACTCACATGAGGTCTAATTCGATCATGGAGAAGGGACATCGGCAGCTTGCTTTGCTTCATGACCACTTTGTACGGATCCTTCATAACAGTCTCCATTTCCTCTTGGAATTTCTGCAGAGACGACTGCTTGATCACACGAGTATTTCCTGGTATAGAAAAATAAACATTGCACCTTCACACGTCCCCACATTGGGCATCGGGCACACACAAACCCAGTGATGCGCTAGAGCTCTGTCTGGAGCTGAAAATACCAGGGGGAAAAATAGATGGTTTCACTGGATAGAGGCACAGTCAAACTTAACCCTTGACTTGCCCACTCCATTCTTTCCTTCCCACCACTTAGAGAGACTTTTAAAAAAGCATCCCCTAGCAACAACAACACCCAGTTGTTTATTGGGCAAATGAATGGTACAAAGAGACGGATTCTCATTCATATGCCTACAGCTCACCTCTTCCTCTGCAGCATCTGGTGCTGGCCACTACTGGAGACAGGACACTTGGCTAAACGGACCTCAAGTCTGATCCAGTCTGGCAATTCCTACAACCCTTACAATCCTGCCCTGGTCACAAGCCCACCATTACAGATTGGTTTCAACCATCCATTTAGAGCTGTTGCAGCCCTCCTGCTTAAAAGGGTGCTGCTGTGCAGTTGTGTTTCTGTATTAGTATTAGGGAGGCTTTAAATTAATGTGCGGAGAAGAGGGAAAGGGGCAAACTTTGCATCATGCCAATTGTAACGGTGTCTATTTGGGCAATCTTCTTAAACAATAAGACTCAATTGAAAACTCCCTGCTTCAGGGGGCTTCCCTGATCAGAGTCTAAAATGTAAGGGAGATGGTATTCACGAGTTTCAAATATGTTTTGATATTCTATATTCCAATTGAGTGTATGTGTCCCTTCAGCAATATATGGAGCCAGGACCACACAAGCATTCCCAGGGCTCTAAAGGCATCATTGCGTTATGTTGCCTCAGGACAGCAGGGAATCCCAATAGGCAGATGGAATGCTGCACTCTTACAGTGTATGCACAGTGGCCACACACACAAGAGGAGAGAACCTATGGGAAAATGGGACATCAAAACAAATCCAGTGCCACTGGGGTTGCTCTTGGCATGACAGTTCAGTGCAAGGACCAAGGCACAGATTTATAAAGGAATTCAGGTACCTCTGAAATCCCACCAGGCAGCTATCTGCATCTTCAGGCACCTAAATACCTTTAAAAATCCTGCCCATAGTATATAAATACTTACTACTGGCTTTTACTGTAGCTTTTCCATAAATATACATTAGAAGTCATAAAACATTAAAGGGACCAAAACCAAGATAGTGGCATGACGTGAACTTTCCTGCATCCCATTCCATCAGTATAGACAACTCAGGTTCTTAACCTTGGCGGGCAAATGTTGCAATGGACAACAGTCAAGGCTTTCCCTATGAGAAGCAAGAGCCTCTGTTCTTTCAGCGGTAAGGAATGTGCTTCCCGCATCAATGGGAAAAGCTAGTTTCTCTTTACACCATAACAGTGGCCAAGATGTGGAAAAGCAATCAGTGATTTTGGAGTCCCAATTTTATACACCTTCAAGGGGCCAGGTTTTCAGAAAAAGCTGCGAACCCACCCTCTGAAAACTAGGCATCTTTAAGGCATTTCAAGTTGGCCCCCCCAAAATCAATAATCACATTAGAAACGTTTGGCCAACGGATCTTGTGTTCCAGGGAACAGGGACATACTATGCACATCATCCCCTTAGAACATCTGAGTGACCATTATTTTAACCTTGCTGAGTCACGAGATAGAAACACTCACCAAACCATTTAATATTTGGTTCCACTCTTGCCACTGTGCCTGGTGCCACGGTGGACTGGTACTGCAGAGGCCTAATCACTTTACCACGATTGTTTCTACGAGAGAAAAATGAGAGCTTGTGTAAGTACATGAGCAGCAGAGACACACAGCAAGGGTCACAGTTCACTCTTTCCAAGACAATACAAAAACCATGTGGTTTGTCTGAATGAAAGGCCCTAAACAAACAAACACTATACACAAGGGCACTTTTACCAGCAACAGTACTGTTTGGAAGGGCAGAATAACTTGTATAGCTGAGACAACAGGAGGATTTAGGTCAGCCAGCATATCCTCACCCACACTGGAATTTGGCCAAGATGCCAGGGTTATTCTTGCAAACATACCACAGGGCCCTGTGTGACCAGGATCTCAGTCTGCCCTCCAAGTACTGACCAGGCCTAAACCTACTGAAGAAGGGATATGACCTCAGGCTTTAGGCAATCAGTTTTATTGCACGAGGCATATTTGGATGGAGCCGTTATGTTTGGCAGTATGTGCCAGTGCCAATAGAACGAGCGCACACACATTTGCTCCCTCAGTGAACCTTTCCTCCCACGTAAAGTTTATCACTATAGGTGAACAACTGGAAACTTTGTCCTCACCCACAACTATTTCACATTTGGGGACAATATATAC